TGACTAAATCACAATTAACCCGCATAGTTATTGAACAAGCTCAAAAAGGATATAAATGTGTTGCTATTGCATATAATGTTGATATCCATAACAGTTATTGGGACTACTAAAACTGGACTCAGAGCTGCTGTACTCGCCTGCGTAAGGTGCCCCTTGCGGATAAACGCTTGGTGGAGGCACAACTGACATTTCCATTCCGGAGACAGTTGTGGCAGCAAGAAGTAGGCGTGGTTGAACCTAAATTAGGGTGGTGAAATTAAGTTTATAGAATTGAGGTTTGGTTCTGTAGTTGCGGTAATGCTAGAGTCGCTCTTTTAAATAATGATTTGAGGGCTCAAATCTTATGAGAGCAAATTCAAGAAGAGATTTACAGTTGATGCGTAATGACGGGACAGTACATACAATTTTTCTGTAAATACCTTCAAACTCGTCATTACTGCTTTTTTTCTCAAATAATACCAGTTGGTATTGACCTACATAACATTTCTGTATGTGCGAGTGTTAAGTTTCTAATTTCTTTCGTTTTTATTTCACGAAATGCCAACAATTTTGCGCATCGGGAATTTTCGGAGCTAATTTGTCCAGCACTATCAATGAAGTAATAGATTTTCATGTCCACACTTCTTTTGATAGATTTTGTCTACTCTTCTATTACAACTCTGCGCTACAATGACGGAGAGAATTAAATTTTGGCATGTTAAATGTTGCTTATTCTTATTCAAGATTTTTTGACATCTTGAACTGTTTCTACATTTTTAAACGCATTTACTAATTACATCCCTCATCATACTCCCGTATTATCTCAAGATCTTGAACATCCAGAATTCCCAGGGACATTGCTTGAGCAATTTTTTAATGTTATCGAGCAAGCATTGTCTCTTCGAAGTTCAGAGTAAAAAAATGGTGGTGAAAAATCTGGTTCAAAAATCAATTGCCATGTTACTGGTAATGGTGTTGTCTAAGTTTTTGTGTCTTATCAGTCAAAGTATCTCTACTCAAATTGTAAAATATTTCTTCAAGAAAGTGGTGATGAATGCGATTTTTCATTTATAAAAAATTATGACGGTAACATATCCAAAAAGTAATCGCAAGGAAGTAAACCAATCGACTTACTTGTAACAGATTTGCTAACATATTTGTGGTAGTTTGGCTGAGACCAATGGATAATTGATGAGCATACTCAAGTGGTGTTGGTTGTCGACCAGTTTGAAGCATTCTTTGAAGCGCTAAGATATAGTTTCTGAAAGCTTATATTTAGAACGAGAAATGTAAATAACATTTTGGATTTTGGAAATTAACTCACTTAGCTAGTCGAAGAGTTTCAATTTTACTCAATTTTTGATGTTGTGCTGTAATCGGAACGTACTGAAACAAAAACTTTATAGCTCTTATTGAAAACATTTTGTAATTAAACCAAAAAGGTCAAATTTTAACCAGTACCTGTCGCAAAAC